TATTGAGATCTGATCTTTTCATCAAGAAAGACTGGAAGTCCCCTATTTCATTGAATGTCTATCTCCTCCCCTGAAAGATTATGCTCAGTTTTGCTGGGTAGTTGATCTTTGATTATAATTCAAGCTCCTTTGCCTTATTGAATATCATATTCTGAGCCCTCCTATCTTTTAATGTAGAAGCTACAAGATCCTGTGTAATCCTGACTGTGGTTCCACAATATTTGAATTGTTTCTTTCTGGCTGCTTGTAGGATTTTCTCCTTGACCTGATAATTCTGGAATTTGGCTACACTATTCCTTGGTGTTTTTCATTTGTGATCTGTTTCAGGAGTTGATTGGTGAATATTTTCCATGACTATTTTACCCTGTGGTTCTAGGACCTCAGGGCAATTTTCCTTGATGATGTCCTGAAAGATGCTCTCCAGGCTTTTTTTTTTTCTTTAATCATGGCTTTCCGGTAGATGAATAATTCTTAAGTTATCTCTCCTGGATCTGTTTTCCAGATTAGTTGTTTTTTCAGTGAGATATTTTATATTTTCTTCTATTTTTCCATTCCTTTGATTTTGTTTGACTGATTCTTGATGTCTCACAGAGTCATTAGCTTCCAATTGCCCAATTCTAATTTTTAATGAATTGTTTTCTTCATCTGGTTTTTGTGCCTTCTTTTCCATTTGGCCCATTTTACATTTTAGGGAGTTCTCTTCAGTGATTTTTTTTTGTTTCCGTTTCCATTTAGTCATTTGTACTTTTGAGGTGTTCCTTTCTTCAGTACACTTTTTTTTCCCATTTTGTCAATTATAATTTCGAAGGAATTGTTCATTTTTTCTTCAACTTCTCTTATTTGACTTTTAAAAATCATTCTTGAGCTCTTCCAAGAAGGTTTTTTGGGCTTGAGACCAGTTCATATTGCCCTTGAGGTTTCAGATGTGGGTATGTTGACAATGTTGTCTTCTCCTGGATTTGTATTTTGAGTTTCGCTGTCACCAAGATACTTCTCTATGGTCATTGTTTTTTTTTTTTTTATGTTGTTTTTTGGTCATGTTGTTTGCCTTTTAAAGTTGATCCTTGCTTTGAGGACAGAGGGGGCACCATCTCAGGCTTTTTGTGGTGGGGGTTAAGGGCCTGGTTACTGGTTTGCTGAGGTGGGGCTTGCCACTGATTTGCTGGGATGCCTCCCTTCCTGTATTCTCCCCTTCAGCCACAGCAAGAGGGATCTTTCCCATTAATCCCTCTTGCCTCATGAACTAAAAGACTGCTGTGTCTCATCTTTCTGCTGACTCCACTATTTCAGGATTTTTTCCTAGAGCTATATTCTCTGGGTTTTTCAAGATCAATAATGGAGGGTGAGAGCAACTTACTGCTTGGTCCGCCATCTTGGCTCCCAAAAGTTGAATTAGTTGACTTTCAAACATTCAGCCTGTGGGCTAATAGCTCCAGAAGCAGCTGCTGCTGTTAATACTGCGACTGCCACCACCACTACTACTGCTGTTTCAGTCATTTCCAAGGCCTGCTGCTGGTTTGCTAGGGCCATGGCTGTATTGGCATGCCCTGTAATCCCGCACTGGACTGTGCTTCTCTCTCACTCAGTTCTGACAGACTTCTCCCACTGGCCTTCTATGTTGTCTCTGTCATCTGTGGGCTCAAAAGACTTCAAATCACCATTGCTCTTTGTGATTCAGTCTCAGGTCTACACTATACACTGCTTGCTGGACTCTACTCTCTCTTGCCAGTGCAACAGACCTTTCCTGTCCACCCTTCAGGAGTTGTTTAGATCCACCTTTATTTGTGTGTTAAGCATTTTGTAACTGAATTCATATTGTACGTAGGTTTATCTCAGCAGACAGACATGTAAGTATTTTATATTCTCTATAGTTATCTAAATGGAATTTTTCTAGCTATTCCATCTGAGTTTTATTAGTAGTATACAGAAATAGAAACATTGAGACGGCTCAGTGCCGGGCCTGAAATCTTGGAAACTTAAGTTCAAATCTGACCTCAGACACTCACTATCTTTGTGACTCTGGGCAAGTCACTTGATCTCCATTTACCTTAATGTACTGGAAAAGGAAACTACAAACCACTCCAATATGTTTGCCAGGAAAACTCCATATTGGGTCACAAAGTGTTAGACAGGACTGAACAAGTCAACAATTTATAACACTGCTTATGATGTGTGTGGCTTTATTTTGTGTCCTGCAACTTTGCTTAAGTTGCTAATTGTTTGAAACTGGATTTGAGTTGATTCTCTAGTTTTCTCTAAGTATTACATCATACCATCCTCAGAGTTTTTATTCTTCACTGTCTATTAGTATTCATCCATTTTATTTCTCTCATCGCTGCTCATCTGAAACCCTTCCTGGAAGGCATAATGTTTGTCCTGGTTAAAGATAATGTTTGCTCTTAGTTTTAGATAATTATTACAGAATATTTTAAGAAAAGAAGCATTTATTCCTGTGCTTTCAAGTTGTTGTTTTTTTTTTAACATGAAAAGTCATGTATTTTCTCAAATGCTTTTCTCAATCTATTGGAATAATCATGATTTTTCTTCTTTTTGTTATTGATATGGCAAATTTTCATCTACTTTTCCTAATATTGAAATGGACTTATATTCATGTAAAAATCATACTGGTCATAGGATATGATCTTTGTGATATATTGTTGCAATCCCTTTGCTAGTATTTTATTTCATATTTTTGCATCAGTGTTCATGAAGGAATTTAATCTATAGTTTTCAACTCTGTTTTTGTTCTCTCTAGTTTAGGAATGAAAAAAACTATTTAGGTTTTAAAAATATTTGCTATAATTCCTTATTAATCCTTTTTTTCAAATGTTTTATATAATATAGTGATAAATTATTCCTGAAAAATTTAAAAGAATTTTCATGTAAAACCATCTGATACTAGTTTTTTTCTCCCCTTAGGGAACATATTAATTGTTAAATTTTGTTATCCATGATATTTTTGTTGTTATTTGGTTGCATCTGACTCTTTGTGACCCAATAGAGCTTAGGAAGCAAGGTCCTTCTATGCTCAACTATCTCTCAAAGTCTTTCCAAATTCTTGTTCTTTATTTCCATGACACTAGCCGTCCATCTCACTCCATGCCATCACCTTTTTCCTTTTACTGTCAAACTTCCTCAACATTAGGGTATTTTCCAGTGAGTCCCATTTTATCATTATGTGGACAAATTATTTAATCTTTAGCTTAAATGTTTATCCATCCAGTGAATGGCTGAATTGATTTCTTAAAGAATTGACATATTTAATCTCTTTGCTGTCCAAAGGACTCTCAAAAGTCTTCTCCAGCAGCACAATTCAAAAATGTCAAGTCTGGAGTGCTTAGGTTGCCTTACATTCAATTTTCATAACCTGAGTTTTCCTCAGTTTAGTTGTTCCTAATTCTCCCTTTCCCTAATCCATTGATTTACTTCTATATTTTTAACAAATATCCAATGATTTAGATGGCTGATGTCTATAACATAGTTTGAGATCTGTAACTACCGTTCCTCCAATTTCATCTATACGTTTAATTCCTTGTTTCCTTTAATATTCTAGATTGGTCATTTCTTTGAATAAATTTAGTTACAATATTATTAAGTTCAGTAAAGTCCTAATTTGAATCTTTGGTAAAGCATTGAATCTGTAAACTGACTTTCATAGTGCTGTCATTTAGTTATTTACTGCCCTAACAATCAAACTACCAAAATTTTACACTATAGAGCTCAATAATGTCACAGAATAAGTAAATTGATTTAAGGATTCTTTTCATTTGATTATATTGGATTGGCCTAAACATGAGCAATCAACATTTATCCAATTATTTAGATCTTTCTCTATTTGTGTGAAGTCATTTCTCATAATGTCCATGTAGTTGCAATATCTTGTCAAATAGACTCTCAGCTGTTTTATATTGTCTCTGTTCATATTATAAGGAATTTCTCTTCCTAGGGTTTCCTGCTTCATTTGATTGGTAGTAAACAAAAATGCTAATAATTTGTGTGGGTTTATTATATATACTGACACTTCACTGAAATTATTCATCATTCAATTAGCTTTTATATTTACTCTCTAGGGTTCCCTTGGTACAATATTATATGATCTGCAATAAGTGATAGACACATCTTGTCTTCTTCTTGGTTTTCAGAATGGCCTTGATTCCTTGTCCTTAGCTCACTGACATGAGGAAGGGAAATTTTATGGGCTTAAATCTGAAAGCCAGTGACTTGAATTTATCCCAGGAGTCATGGGTCTGCAGGATTTCCTGACCTAGAAGAGGAAATTTGGAACTGGAGAAAGGCAAACAGATCTCAGGCTTGTGGCATACTTGTGAATGCACTGTGAGAGCAGGGGAAAGCCAGGAGCTGTAAGAATGTCTGCAGTGTACAGTTGGTGACATTAGCTTTGGATACATTTTTTCAGTAAGAATTACCTAGGAGCCAGTTTTTGACTTTTTATCTTTTCTTGGATTTGGACATTTTACTTATCCCTTATATGATTTGTTCTATAAGAGAGCTGTCCTTGGAAACATCACTAGTATCACTCTGGGGTTTCTCCTCTTATATTGAAACTGAACAACCTTAAGAAAAAAAAATAACAGAACAGAGATCTGCGATGTGGCATTTTTTCCTCTTATTTATTGCAAAAACATTAGTGAATCCCCCCTCCAAGAAAAGAGAAAATAACATATCTAGTACCCTGTCTACTTCTTAGAGGAGATCTCAGAATTTCATCAATCAACTTTTCATTTTATATGTGTATATTAAGTGTCTGCCATATATAAGAAATTTCAAAACAACTGATTTCATTTGACCTCTATTTAGAAATCAGGCAACATGACTGTGTTCAGAATGCTATTAGATTCAGATGAAAAAGCAAGAGATAATATTAACAGAAAATAGAAGTCACGTAAGTTAGATATATTTGAAATATTTAATTAAGACTATGGGAGGCAAGGAATAGTTCATTGTGATTGATGAGAAAGAATTTGAAAAGATCTGCCTTCTTAGAGATTGGATTTCTTTTTCAGTATCTCCAAGGTATTTCTGTCTGACCTGAGAAGGATCACATAGCACTTAGGAGCAAAGATGCAAGTGAGAATCCCAGCACTGGAGGCCAAGATGGAAAAGACTTCCACAGCCACCATGGCCTTGCCCTTGGTGCTCTGATATGTGGGCAGGAAGGCTATCCAGACACTGAAGAATACAAGCATGCTGAATGTCAGGAACTTGGCTTCATTGAATGTGTCTGGAAGATTTCTGGCAAAGAAAGCCACTGTGAAGCTGCCCAAGGCCAACATGGCCATGTAGCCCAGGACACAGTAGAAGGTGAGGATGGAGCCCTCATTACACTGAATGATGATGAAGCTAGGCTCAGCATGTACATCCATCTCCAGGAATGGGGGATAAGTCCCAAGCCAGATGCCACAGAGACATATTTGAATTAGAGTACAGATCAAAATGAGAGAAGAAGATGCCGTGGTGCCCAGCCACCTCCTGAGCTTGCTCCCTGGTTTTGTGGCCTTGAAAGCCAGAACCACAGTGATGGTTTTAGCTAAAATGGAGGCAATAGCCACTGTGAACACAACTGCAAATGTGGTTTGTCTCAGGATGCAGGTGGCTGTGGTAGGATGCCCAATGAAGAGCAAGGAGCAAAGGAAGCAGAGGATGAGGGAGCCCAGAAGAGTGTAGCTGAGACTGCGGTTATTGGCTTTGACTATGGGGGTGTCTGTGCTTCACAAAGATTCCAAGGACCAGAGCAGTGAGGAGGGAGAAGCAGAGAGCTGTCCAGACCAGAGTCATCCCAACGGGTTCTTCATAGGCCAGGAAGGTCACAGTCTTGGGGACGCATCGATCTCTCTCCATACTTGGGTACTCATCTTCAGGGCACTGCAGACATTGCTCTGCGTCTGTGAACAAATAAACAAAAAGAACCTCACTATATCGCATACAGATCATAAGTTTTCTCTCTCCAATTATGTACAGTTTCAGTTATTCCACATTCAGCTTAGCCTCATGTTGTACTCCTCCTCAGTTAGAAGGACAAGAATTCTAGAGGGTTAATCAGATCAGCATATTTTAGTATCTTCATATTACTACATGTGGGTAAAATAATGTAGAGAACAAATTGGTTCCATCTCATATGTCTACTAAAGGGAAAGTCATACTGTCTATAATTCATTACTATATTAAACCACTTACAATGGACCCCAAGGGGTCACTTTATAAAAATTCTTATATTTTCAGAATAAAAATGAAATATTGAAACCAATAATTCTGCCATTTGTTTTCCATAGATGAAGGACAAGAAAAATAGTAAATTAGGTGAAAAAAGACTTTTTAATGTGTTTCTTTTAATGCAAGGTCAAAATACAAACCGGAGTTCTTATGGTACATGATTCTGCTCATGCAAATCAAACATTCATTATATAAAGTTATTTCCATAATGATTTTGATTTTCTTAAATCAGAAAATATATAATGCACCTATGACAATAGTTCCCTAGTTTTCACAGTATAGTAAATGAGGATTTCAAACCTATCTCCTTCATGCTTTCTACTCATCAATGTTACAACATTATCATGTCTATTCTATATGCATTACTCCAGCCTCAAGGAATATTACCCTCACAATACCTGTTTCCTTTATATTGTATATACATGCATATTTCATTTATTGTTTTAACTATTAATAAATTCTACAATTATTAACTTTGAGGCTCTTTTATGCTTATGAGATTGGGCCAAAGATTGAAATACAGTGAGATACTAGTGGAAGCTTAGGGAAATAAATCTTTACCTGAGTTATTTAATAAATAGCATGTAATCAAATAGTGAGATAGCTTAGAGATAATTCATTACTCAATAAGAGGAATGTGGCAAATTTATTTATCACTTTGGAAAATTAAAGGAAAAATTCTTTTCTTTCAGTACATTCACGGAACCTGTGCAACGTGAAGAAATTTTACAAATATGTTAGACACTACCGGAAGACCAAATAAATATCTTAAATAATCCAATTTCAGATGAGAAAATGGTAAAGGAATTACTCAAGGAGGGGGCAAGTTTTGCTTCTGATGGATTCCCAAGAGAATTTTATAAGTATTTACCCTTACTACAGTACTGGTACCAGTACTACAGCCACTTTTATCAAGATTTTTCTAAAGGGCATTACCAGATAAATTTTATGAGACAAATAAAGTCCAATATCCAAAGTAGAAAAGCACAAAACACAGATAATATCATTTAATATTATTTTTTAGGTAATGGTGGTTAAGTGACTTGCCCAGGGTCACAGAATTAGTGAGTATCAAGTGTTTGGTCTGAGGCCAAATTTGAACTCTGGTCCTCCTCTGACTTCAGGGCCGGTGCTCTATCCACTGTGCCAACTAACTGACCAATCATTTAATATTATTAATAAATATCTATTCAAAATTTTTAAATAAACTCCTGTCAAATAGTCTGTATTGATTAACCCAGGATACAATTCATCCTCTGCAAATTAGATTCATATTAGAGAAAAAAATAGTTCAACATTAAAAAATGACATTAAATATAAAATATCTAAAACCAAAAAACAATGTCATGACATGTAGAAAAATTCTTTCATAAAATAAAAGAAATATGTATGCTGAAAAGACTACAAAAATAAATGAAATGAGAGAATTTTTATATTATAATATTACAGCTTTAAAAAACATAGTATGCAAAGACATGTATAGGTATCTTTCCAAATAAGTACAGGAATAAAGTTAAGATGATGAATCTCCTTATTAATTGGTATAGTTACAGGAATGGTATTAAAAGCATTAAAATTAGAAACATTAAAACACAAATATAGAAAAAGAAGAGGTAGAACTATCCCTATTTTTTGATGACGATGGTTTACTTAGAAAATCTTAAGGAATTAACAAAGATATTAACTGGGAAAGTTGATAAAACATTAAAGTTGATAGAAAGTTGATAAAAACTACATGATAAACCCATTAAACCTCTACATTTTTCTGTAATGAAAAAAATTGAGAGGTTATAAGAAAAAAGGTAATCCCATTCCACATAATTGCAAAAGTACATAAAATATCAGATTTTCTGGAACTTTTCAAAATCCTTACATTGATTCAATTATGAAAAATTCTTTGAAGAAATAAATAAAAAACTTCAATAACTCAAGAAATAATCTAATCTCTGGCTTGACCATAATAATAAAATAAAAATGAAAATAGAAAACCAAGAATTCCAAAAGGCAGAAGTAACGAGTGACTACAGTACATAAATGGGGAACAGCTAGCAAATAAGACAGGACATTGTGTTCAGGAAAATTTGAAGTGACGTGAAAAACAAAAGTTCAAGCTTTTGAATAAATTGATGTACTAAATAATATATGCTAATTACATAATAAATCAGAAGCAGTCCTTCCAAATTTTGACACTAGACTTCAAACTTACATGGGGAGTGTCAGATTTTTACACAATATTTTGTGGGCCAAGCTCAGTTGAGTCAGGACTCCAAACCCCAGGAAAACAATTTTTCATAAATGCCTCCTAGAGTACTCTGGTTTATCTTTCACCAAGGGATGATTACTTGAAACTACTTCCAGAGGCCAGACTCCCACCCTCAATCCAAATTCATTTTTGCTTAAATAATATTTAGGTTTTTAAGTTTTAGGGTATTAATATTTCCCTTAGGAATGGGGAAGTTTAGGATTAAGTTTTAGTTTAATTTTTTTCCTGCAGAAGTGGGAAAGTGTTCAACTAGGCCATAAGGGTAGGGAAGGATTATGGATTCTAGAAGCAGCAAAATACTGGTGGATCATTCTTGGATAGATTTTTAGTATCTTGAATTGGGTGATATTCTTGATACTTACAGGAATGACCAAAAAGTACAAAGAATGAAAATGATTGAATAAGGTCAGTATCATTTTAACTCAGAAAATATTGTTTTCTTAAGTAAAAGTCACTTCAGGTTAAGATTCTTTTTTTTAAATTTTTTTTTAAATTTTAATATGACTGTTGATATTTGGCTGTCAATGAGCTCTTCACAATGAAATCATTGCATTGGTTTGAGTAAAATAAAAAAATATACATTTTGCTTAAAAATGTTGACAAGCATTTTACACATATTATATCATTTTGGCTTCATAACAATTCTGTGTGGTAAATACAGTATTATTATGCCCATTTTAGAGGTGGAGAAATTGAGGCTTCAGGGTTAAGTGACTTGCTCATCAATACAGCTAGTAAACATTAGAAATTGTATTAATTACCACATCTGCTTGATTACAGGCAGTGAATAAAGAGCTGGCTTCAGAGTTAGGAGAGACTGGATTCAAGTTTAACTTCTGAGAGATATAAGGTAACTAATCCTGGTCAAGTCACTTAATCTTTTTTTTAATATTAAACTTTTATTGATTTATTTATTTTTAGTTTTCAACATTCAGTTCCACAAGATTTGTTAATTCATTTTCTTTTTTATTAATTTATTTATTTTTAGTTTTCAACATTCACTTCCACAAGATTTTGAGTTCCAAATTTTCTCCCTGTCTTATTCCTCCCCCCACCCAAGACAGCATGCATTCTGAATATCCCTTCCCCTAGCCTGCACTCCCTTCTATTACCCCTCCCTTCTCTTAGCCCCTTCTCCTTCTTTTTTCCTGTAGGGTAGGATAGATTTCTGTACTCCACTGCATGTATATCACACACACACACACACACACACACACACACACACACACACACATTTTGTGCAGCTGTTTTCAGAGATACTTCTAGAGTCCTGTAAATTTTCAGTTCTTCCAATACAGTATGATGAAGGGCAAGGTGTTTATTCCTTTCCTGGCCTGTGCTCTGATCTATGAGTGACCACAAGCACTCTTTTCTGCCTTGGAAGTGTGAGGAAGATTCCCTCTCCACAACCACCACAAACTCCACTGCACCAGCACTACTCCTTGCCACAGAACCACCACCCAGCACTGTGACCCAGATCCAAGCACAGATAAAATAAGAGATTTCTTCTTCAGCACCGGTAAAGACATCCTTCCAATCCCCCTCTGAGCAGCCTCTTAATTCTCCCTCTGTCTACAGGCCAAGAGCTCTGGAAGCAGCTGCTTCCTCTGGGCTGCATCAGGACTGAGGGTGAGCTCCTCTCTCACAGTGGTCTGACATACCTTTCCTACTGACCTTCTAAGCTGTCTTTGGGGTTTGTGGGTTGAGAAGGCTGGAAACCACCACAGCTCCCCTTGATTCAATGCCCTGAATAGTGCTCCAGGCTCCCTGAGGCCATGTCTTCACCTGCTTGGCCCACACTGAATTCTCCCAGCCCTGCAAATAGACCTCTCTAATCAACCATCCAGGTTATTTTGGGCTGGAAATTTGTTTCACTCTGTCTTTTTGTGGGTTCTGCTGCTCTAGAATTTGTTTAGTGCCATTTTCACAGGTATTTGGAGGGGTTTGGGGGAGAGCTCAAGTAAGTCACTGCTTTTAACTCTGCCATCTTGGCTCTGCCCCCTAAGATTTAAAAAAAATATATAGTTTCTATTACTTTGGGAGAAGGACTATTGATCTTTAGGAACCCACCTGTCTGGTTGGAAATGTGTCCTTCAGGGCATGGGGTACAATCAAAGCAGCAGATGGGCTGGCCTTCAAGTACTGTCTTCTTGAATCCAGGTTCACACTTTAGACTGCACATGGAAGTTGGAGTCTGTGTTTTCATGATAGAAAGGGAGAAAAATTCACTGTAAGAGTAACTACTGAAAAATAGCTGCATTGAGGCAATAATGATTTTAGATGTCTCTCATAGAAGACATTTTGAGGAAAATATGTGCCATTCTGCAGGGCAAGAATGATCTAATTCTCAAAGGAGACTATCTTGCTGTATTTCCATCTTCCATTCCAGATCATCTTTTCCCCAATGGGCTTGTATAGATTCTCCACTAGGTACAATCAAGTGCCTTGATTTTTTTTAACTGTAATATCTTGCTGCCATATTTATTACCAAAATAGTAGTATGTTTCTAAACAACTCCATTTTTGAACAGAAAATGACAAAATAATTCATTGACTACATAAGGAGGAAATACTTCTTTATTTTTTTTCTCCAAAAAAGTCCTGGTATGTGTGTGTATCTGTGTATCTGTGTCTGTGTGTCTGTGTGTCTGTGTGTCTGTGTGTCTGTGTGTGTCTGTGTTTTCATAAGGTATCCTGAATGTTTCAGAGAATCATGACTTTAGAGATTATACACCACAATGAACTAATTAAGCAGTTCACCTTGATTGTGTCTAAGTAAAAAATCAGATGACTTGATTGTCTGATCTTATTCTTGGGCTGCTTTTGGAGCATCCTCCAGGGACCAGTGTGAGGGGTGGGGTGGGATTTATCAAATCCCACAGAAAAATGAAACTGCAGAGGTACATATGTTTTACATCAGCAGAAGACATAATCACAAGATTTAAAGTAGCAATCTAAAAACCATTGTCCTTATTTGGGACACAAACTGTGGAAAACTTCAATAAATTTTAGCTATAGGATGCCAGATACTGGATAATCTTTGGTGCAATAGGTTAATCTGGAAAAAAAAAATTCTCTACTGTCCACTCCATTGTTATTCTTCAACCCTGAACACTTGATCTGGGATATTTCAAGATTCTCTTGGTGTGAACAATTGAGATCATTATTTAACTTAGATGAAAACAATTTGAAAGTAGGACTGAAAAAAGGAAATTAGAGCTATGTCTTACAGCAAAAAAAGAAGAGTAAGTGGATGTTAGCACTCTGTCACAATCATTTCAAGTGTCTGTTGTGAACATCCTGGTACCAATGAAGAAATAGCATTGTCCAGGAAGCTAAACAGGCCAAGTGATGAAACTCAATCACTGACCCCTTACCTGAGAGAAATCTTCTGGCCAATCTATATCTTCTTCATTAATGCTGAACTCCTGATCATGAGGAGTCACTTCACCCACTTTCACAAGTACCTCAGTGCGGAAAGAGAAGTATTTATAATTCAGGATATCATATGTCTCAGCAGTCGTCTTGTCTCCATCCCCACATGACTCATCACTGGCACTATTGACAGGACTGGTGGACTTCAGGAAGTGGTGGAGCTACAGGAAAGGACAGGAATTTGTTAATCCATGGGGAAAGAAGGAGTAATGTCTATATCTCAGACTTGAATATCAATGCAAAATAGGCTCTGAATTTGGAGCTTCCAAGAGTTATCATCATTTCTTTTCTTCAATTTTTTCTTCTTAAGGTTCTCTTACAATTCTGCAGCCTTTTTCTCCTTTTCCATAGCAAGGAATGGACAACAGAAGAATAACAAAGCCAGTAAACAATTATGTATAATAGATATTGAACTTATCACAAAAACCATTTCATCTTCCTTTCACCAAATCAGGAATTTCTTCCAAATATAGTTGATATTTTGCATTCCAAGGTCTTTTGTAAAACCTGTGGTCACAAAGAACTCAGAACCTCCTGCAAGGAGAAGCTTGCTATTTATGTCCCATTAGATTGTGAAATCCTCAAAAACTGGGACTTGCTTTTTGTTGCTTCAGAACTTAGCACATTTCTTAGCACATAGTGAGTGCTTAAAAAATGTGTATTGATGGACTTTTATTTGGGGTAATTCATACTCCTTGTGCAAAAATCTCTTTCATTAAAAAAAAATGTGTAATGTAGGAATCTGAAGTAGTTGATAAGGTAATCTTAGGAATAGGGGACAATTTGATATTCATAGTGATACAATTCAAGGTAAAGAAGGAAAAGCAATTACAAATGATTAAGAGACTAAAACATTTGAAAATCACTAATCCAAAATAAATAGAAAGGAGAATAATTTTAATGGAAGAAATTATGAAATAAATTGCATAATGATAAACTGTAAAGAAATGAAACATTAACAAAATTTGAGAAAGATTTGAGAAGCAGAGGTTTCAATAAAAACTCAAAAATTATTTGGGATACACAGGGTCTAGATGTCATCATGAATGGAACATATTCAAGAAAATTTCCCAAAGAGATTGAAAATGTAGAACGAGAAGATTGATAAGAGAAATGAAGTCTACATTCTTCTCAATGAGAAATGAGGTAAGATTTCATTTGTTCATGGGAAAAAGAATCTAATAGGCCAGAATTAAATGTCTGGTAGTTGATTGTTGAAACTGGGACAACTTTTCATGACCAAATGGACAGTAGCATGCCTGGCCCTTCGATTGCTCACTATATCTCAAAATCTGTCCACCTTAATGTTCGTGGTTTCCATGACACTATCTATCCATGTCATCTTCTGCCATTGTCTCTTCTATTTACTTTCAATCTTGTCCAATGTCAGGGTCTTTTCCAATGCATCTCATCTTCTCATTTTGGAATCACAGTATTTAAGCTTCAGCATTAGGATTTGACCTTCCAGTGAACGGTCTGAATTAATTTATTTAAATATTGACTGATTTGATCTCCTTGCTGTCCAAGAGACTCTCAGAAGTCTTCTTCAGCACCATAATTGAAAAGGATCAATTGTGCAGCTCTCAGATTTGCTTACAATCCAAACTCACAACCATACATTGCTGCTGAAAAGAACATAACTTGAAATTTGGAAGAAGAGGGGCAGAGCCAAGATGGAGGAGTAAAATCAGTGACTTGCTTGAGCTGTCCCCCAAACCCATCCAAATACCTACAAAAATGGCTCTAAAGAAATTCTAAAGCAGCAGAACCCACAAAAAGACAGAGTGAAACAAATTTACAGCCCAAGACAGCCTGGATTGTTGATCGTAAAGCTATATCATGTGGGTCAGGGAGAGGAGCCCAGTTTGGCATGGGCACACAGGTAAGGCAGGCTTCAGCAAATGAGGAGCAGGCCTCAGAGGACTGAATTGCAGGCAGCTGTGCTGGTTTCCAGACTTCTCAATCCATGAATGCCAAAGACAATTTAGAAGGTCAGTGGGAAAAGGCTATGTCTGTGGTGAGAGAGAATACGGTCCCAGCCGCAGTCCCTCAGCTTGGCTCTGTGGTGGCATTTGCTTCTGGAACTTCCTGCCCAAAGACTGAGGGGGAATTGAATGGCTGATCAGCAGAGCATTGCAGGGATCTCTCTGCTGGTGCAGGATTCTCATGCTTTAACTGTGCTTGGATCTGCGTCACAGTTCTGGGTGGTGGTCCTGGGGCAAGGAAGAATGCTGATGTGACAGAGCTTGTAATGACTATGGAGAGAGAATCCTCCTCACAGTTCCAAGGCAGAAAAGAGTGCTTGGGGTCATTCATAGACCACAGCACAGTCCAGGAAAGGAGTAAACACCTCATCCTTGATCATACCACCTTGGAAGAAGTGAAAATTTACAGGTCCCTATAAGTATCTCTGAAAACAGCGGCACAAAACCCCGAAGCTTGGAACAGTACATTCTCCATACTGGAATCAGACTCCCACCTTAACAAAGAGTTTATAACTCAAGTAATTGTCTGGGATCATGAGCAAGCAGCACAAAAATGGTCAGATCATAGAATTTTACTTTAGTAACAAAGAAGATCAAAACATACAACCAGGAGAAGACAACAAAGTCAAAATTTCTACATCCAAAGCCTCCAAGAAAAATATGAATTCATCCCAGGCCATGGAAGAATTCAAAAATAATTTTGAGAAGCAAGTAAGAGAGGTAGAGGAAACACTGAGGGTGATTCAAGAAAATCATGAAAAACAAGTCAACATCTTGCTAAAGGAGACCCAAAAAATAATGAAGAAAATAACACCTTAAAAAATAGCCTAACCCAAATGGCAAAAGAGGTCCAAAAAGCCAATGAGGAGAAGAATGCCCTAAAAAGCAAACTTGGCCAAATGGAAAAGGAAGTCCAAAAGTTTACTGGAGAAAATACTTCCTTAAAAATTAGAATAGAGCAATTGGAAGCTAGTGATTTTGTGAGAAATCAAGACACTGTAAAACAAATCCAAAAGAATGAAAAATTTGAAAACAATGTGAAATATCTCATTGGAAAAACAACTGACCTGGAAAATAGATCCAGGAGAGAAAACTTAAAAATTATTGGACTATCTGAAAGTCATGATCAAAAAAAGAACCTAGACATCATCTTTCAAGAAATGATCAAGGAAAATTGCCCTGATATTTTAGAACTGGAGGGCAAAATAGAAATTGAAAGAATCCACTGATCACCTCTTGAAGGAGATACCCAAAGGAAAACTCCTAGTAATACTGTAGCCAAATTCCAGAGTTCCCAGGTCAAGGAGAAAATATTGCAAGCTGCCAGAAAGAAACAATTCAAGTATTGTGGAAACTCAATAAGAGTAATACAAGATTTAGCAACTTCTCCATTAAAGGACCAGAGGGCATGGAGTATGATATTCCAGAGGGCAAAGGAGATAGGATTACAACCAAGAATCACCTACCCAGCAAAACTGAGTATAATTCAGGGGAAAAAATGGTCTTTCAGCGAAATAGGGGAGTTTCAAGCATTCTTAACCCAAAGACTAGAGTTGAATAGAAAATTTGACTTTCAAACACAAGACTCAAGTGGAACATGGAGAGGTAAACAGGAAAAAAATATCATGAGACTTATCAAGGTTGAACTGTTTACATTCCTGCATGGAAAGATAATATTTATAACTTGTGTGACTTTTGTCAGTATTAGGGTAGTTGGAGGGTCAAAATTGTATGTATGTAGATAGATAGATAGATAGAGGGCAAAGGATGAGTTGAAGATGAAGGGGTGTTATTAGGGAGAATAAAATTAAGGGGTGAGAGAGGATTATGCTGGCAGAAGGAGAAAGGGAGAAGTAAAATGGGGTAAATTATCTCACATGAAACAGACAAGAAAAGGCTTTTACATTGGAGCGGAAACAGGGGAAGGTGAGAGAGAAGGAGTGAATCTTATTCTCATTGGATTTGACTTAAGGAAGGAATAACATACACACTCAATTGGGTGTGGAAATCTATCTTACCCTACAGGAAAATGGGGGACGAAGGGGATTAAGAGAGCAGAGGGATAATAAAAGGGAGGGCAGAGTGGGAGAGGGGGTAATCAGAAGCAAACACTTCTGAGGAAGGACAGGGTCAAAAGAGAGAACAGAATAAGTGGGGGGGCAGGATAGGATGAAGATAAATATACTTAATTTTTTACAACATGACTACCATGGAAGTGTTTTGCATGAGTACACATGTATGACCTGTATCTAGTTGTTTGCCTTTTCAACGAGGGTGGGTGGGGAGGGAGGAAGGGAGAAAATTTGGAACCCAAAGTTTTAAAAACACATGTTAAAAATTGTTTTCACGTGCAATTGGGAAATAAGAAATGCAGGAAATGGGGTATATACATCTATCATGCCCTACAGGAAAATACATGGGAAAGGGGATAAGAGAAGGGAGGGGTGAGATAAAAGGCAGGGCAGATTAGGGGAAGGGGTATACAGAATGCAACCCATCTTGGTTTGGGTGGAGGGATGAGATGGGGAAAAAATATGTAACTCAAAATCTTGTGGAATTGAATGTTGAAAACTAAAAATAAATTTTAAAAAATGAAGGACAAAAAAATATAAAAGAACATAGCTTTGACTATACAGAGCTTTGTCAGCAAACTGTAATTCAGATAATCATCACATATATTACTGTGGGCAAGAATCTCTTAGAAGAAATAGAGAAGCTTTTATTGTAAATAAAAGGGTGAGAAAAGCATTGTTAAGATATCATCTCAAAATAACAGGAAGGTATTTATTGGAATCTTAGGCAGACCTCAACCTCATAATAATAAAAGTTGATGCTACAACTATTGATGGAAAAGAGGACAAAGTTTATCAGATCAATGGAGACTTGCAACATCTACAAATAATGCAAAAGAGGTATCACATTCCTCACAGGGGATAGGAAAGCTAAAGTAGGAAAACAAAAGAGAATTAGAATAATAGGCAAGCTTGGCATTGTAGTTCAAAATGAAGAAGAAATACATATGAGAAAGCCAACTTATGTCAAATAAATTTTCTAATCCAGAAGAGTAAATAGGAAAAGCAAATGAAATATAATATAGGAAAAATTAAATGGTAGCTTTCAGTTTCACATTTCCTAGCTAGCCAAACTATTGATGTAAGTGTATTTGGGCACTCTCATGTGGTATATGTATGTACACATCTATACAAAATATATAAACCTTGAGAATTCCAGAAAATTCCAGAAAATAAGGCTAAACTTCCAAAAACACGGCCATTACTGAGACGACATGCCCTAAACTTTCTTCAAGGTGGACAATCAAAGAATCAGCAAGTCATTTGAAGGGGGAAATTATTGTTTCTTTTAAGGTGTCAGAGAAATGTAAAGAGACAATGAATAAAGAATCAATCAGTACATCTGACAGGAAGGAATAAAAAGAAATTTGAAGAGGAAAGAAGGAAGCATGGCTGGGAATTTGTTGTGCCCAATAAATGTTTATAACAAATAAAGTCAAAGCTAATGAAGAAAATGGGGAAAGTGAGATAGCAGACAATCCTGAAATCTCCTGTCTAAATAAAAGAAATTCATTTAAATTACCTCATTAAAAATTATTTATCATGTAGACCCAGAAGGGCAAAGAAGAGGCAGCAACCCAGTTGTATTTTCTCAATATTCTCCTCCAAACATGCATCAAATCAAATTCCACAAAATTTGTGGAGCATAATAGCCAGTAAAAGGTCATGATGAGGCATTTCCTCAGCCCAAAACAACTTACAAGTTTGGGAGAGGTTTGTGACACCTTGTTGGGACCTAAACCAGAGGGCGCATAGTAAAAATAAAAGTAGTGGGTATTAGAGGTAGCTGCAGCAGCAGCTACAGCAGCCTCAGGAACTCAGCCCACAGACTTTCCATGACAGAAAGGAGCACTAGCCCTTGAAGTTGTAAAGGAGCCAGGGACCCAGTTAAAGTGTCAAGGCAGAAGCTAGTGTTTCTGCCTTCACTTTAGGAGTACCAATAACATGTAGGTACCCAGAACTACCTCTTAAAAGAATTGCATAAAAAGGCATGACGCTTGAGACATTGGCCTCCACAGCCATCCACAATCACAGGACAACTTTAAGGTAAAATTCAAAATCAAGAAATAGTCAGGGAAAATGAGACAACAACAAAAAATCATAAAAATCTTTCATGGTGGCAGAAAAGATCAAGACACAAACTCTAAAGAAGACAATAATGTATAAACAACAACAAACAAAGCCTTAAATGAAAACTCAAATTGGGCACAACCATAACAAGAATTCCTAAAAAAGGCTAAAGAAAGAAATGAGTGTTAGAGGAAAACTTGGAAAAGAAATATGTGATACAAAAAAAAAACAACTGGTTGGTAGAAGGGGCACACGATGTAATAAAGGCTATATAACCTTAGAAAACAAAATTAGGAGCAGAACGATGATGACAGAGTAAAACAGGTGATTATTTGATCTAGCCCAAATTCTCCTCATAACAGCATTAAAATAATACCTCAAAAAAAAATTCTGGAATGGCTGAAGCAAAAAAAGGAGTGAGTGAAAAAAATTGTAACACAGGATAACTAAAAAGATCAGCAGGAAAGGTCCATTTCACTAGAGTGAGAATGAAGTGTAGTGCAGAAAATGCCACCCCTCACAAGTCAGCAGCTCTCCCCGAAACATCAATACCCTTGATATACTCTTAAGTTTAATCTGCATTATTAACACTTTTTATTTTACTATCACTTTGTTTCTTAACAACCTTGTTTTTTTTTCTTTCTATACAATCCACAAAACAATAAATCAAGCCTTGATTTATAGCAAAAGAAAAAATGTAGATTAGATGTGTGTCAAGATTAAAAGAAGAATGTGCTATCCTACAGTTAACATTAGTAGTAGTCATCAGTAGTAATATTAATACTTGCATTAGTTGCCTTAGTGGTAGTAGTAATAGTAGTAGTAGTAGTAGTAGTAGTAGTAGTAGTAGTAGTAGTAGTAAAAGAAAAAGTAGAAATAGTGATATTTGTATTATTATCATTATGTAATTGTACACTTTAACATGTATTTTACACTACATAAGTTATATAATTACTTCATATTGTACAAGTAGTAATTGTATTTTTTTAATTATAACTATGGTAAGAATAATTATCCTTTTTTTAGTTAAATAAGCATTGACAAAGTATTTTCTATGTGCTAAATTCTGTGTTAGGTAATTTACAAATATAATTTTCTTTTATCCTCATGAAAAACCTCAGAGTTAGGTACAATTAATGTCATCATAGAACAGTAAAGGAAACTGAGGCAAATGGCGGTTAAGTTACTTGCCCAAAACCACATGGCTATTATGTGTCTGAGGCTAGATTTTAATTGAGGTCTTCCAGTCTAGTACTGTCAATTACCACAATCAAAACAGCCAGTTCACAAAAGTCTGAAGCTTCTCCCTCTGATTTATAAGCACAGGCCCAAAGCCTGAAATGGCTTCAGAAACTATACTCAGGTGACGCTATTCTTGGTCCTTGGGTTGCATTAATCTTTGCTGTGGTCTGACTTTCCTCTGCCAGATCATTTACTAAGCTCATCATCTAACTGAGAAATTGGTTATGGGGATCTCATTATCTAATTCACACTCACACCAAACAACTCCTTATGAAGTGTTTTTTTTCTGTTTCAAAACTTATTCTCAATGGATGTTAAGACGAGTAATGATAATTGGCAGTCACTTTTCTATTGTCAATTATCATTTTTCCATTCAACCAAAGCTATATTCTTATCTATTCTTCAATCATCCTCTTTCAGACTACCTAAATCTGCAAAAAATAAAAGACAAAATAACTTTTTTTTTCTATTAACTTTATTTCCTCAACCTATTCAGATAATTATGATCTTCGGTTCTCTTGGAACTATCCTTACAGGACTATTTCATGTTTTGCCTTGGTATCTGTTACATGTCCTTTCCTCCTTCTCCTGTATATATGATTTCTACATCTGAGCTGGTGGTTAAGTTTTGTTTTTTTTTTTTGTATTTCATCATTGTCCTATACAAGCAAATCCTCTTTTTCTTCCTCATTGGTATCATTTCTTCTTTAGACTACTGAATTACAAGCTTGTAACTTCCTATCTGTCCCAGGATGAACGATCTCACAGAACTTTAAACCACAGAAATGTACTCATTGAGATGTTTGACATATTATCTCTCCAAATCTAGACTGATAATCATACCCAGATGTCCTCTATTGTATTATAAATTTTACTATGCAACGATTACTCCCGATGGGCCCAGTTTTCCAACATTTCCACCACAGCAACTAGTTTCTCCAAGTGTAAAGAATCATATTTAGGATACAGTTGCCAATAACAGATTGCTCTACATTTAAAAAAAAAATGAATGCATCATTGAAGCAAGTGGACCCATGTACAAATATCACCTCTCCTGCTCAGCTGTAGATATTGATAGAAGTTAAAATCGATCATTAGAAATCACACAAAGCACCTTGACATTTGAAATGTCATGACCCAGGCCAATGTAAAGGCCCTAAATTGGAATAGATTGAAGGAAACTCTCCTCCCACATAAGCTCATACCCAGAAAGATGTATAAAAGGAAAAACACCAACAACTTCACCAAGGTTGCTATATCAGAGATGAAATAAATGTCTATTATCTGAAATACTTTCATTGCTTTCACCAGGGATTTAATGTAATCACAAATGAATAAAAAGAAAAAAAAATTAGAGAATAAGAGGTGATACTGAGGTCTCAGGTCATTTCTGCTTCACATATAGAACACATAACTAACAATTGAATGTTGCAAGTACTCTCTTCTAAGTCCAAGAGTGGAAGAGAAATGTTACCTTCCAAGAAAGATCTGAGTTTTTTCTGAGTTCTTGTGTCTCTTTTGCCCCAGACTGGAGCATTTGATGGAGAGCATAGGTCACTAAATATACCGCATTGTAAACATTAAAACTCAGTTCCATAATGAGCTTGTTAAAATTTTTAAAAGGTAAATTTTTCCAGGAAACACCTTCTGGGCACAAAGTATCTGACATTTCTAATTGACTTTTTGCTGAAGCTCTGCACATAGAGAATGACTCAAAGAAACTCTTTAGGAAAATGTCCTCAGAGTTCACACTGGGATTCAGGCTTCTTACAAAATCTGTGAAACCAAGAATCTCCATCTGGGAATGAGAAAATAGTATTGTACCATGAAAATAGGTAAGCATTTCCAAATTGCTATCAAAAGAAAAATCCCAAGAAGTGGTTGAAACCAACATTTTCCCATAAAGTACATAAGCCATGAATGCATTTGCAAGATCTTGAAGGGAGTCTGTATCTCCATAGATGAAAATCACATTTGATGATGATGCAATGATCTTAGAAGAGAGTTTGTAATAGTCTTCACCATTAAAGACTGGGGGCACGCTTTCCTTTAAGGCCACACACAGACCATTCCTGTCCATCTCCTCTTTCAGATCCCTGAAGAAATTTTCCCCTCGTGTGTTATCTGAAAGAACCAGTCCCACCCAAGTCCAGTCAAAATGGAGCATCAGTTGGATGAATGCTAGGTGAAGAGTGGATTCCCTGTTGCCCATCTGATAGACATATGGATACTGGATCTTATCAGTCAGGAGAAGATCAAATAAGCCATAGGTGATCTAAATGAAAAAAAGAAAGAAGACTGGAATGGTGATTTAAGTTCTTTCAGAATTTATCCTTTATATTTGTATAACAAGCAACTATCAGTGGCTTACACAGAGTAGATAATGGATGAATGCTTGTTAATTTTATTTTATAGTTTAAGATCACAAATTTACACTATTATGGAATGTAACAATGTAAAGGAAATTCTAAAACTGTACTTGATCAAGAATCCTTTCTTCAATGTCTCCATCAATCAAGTACAATGTCTCTGCTTGAAATAATTCAATGAAGGAAAACTCAGTTCCCTCCCAAGATGGCAGAGTAAGTAATAAGTTGTTCTCACTCTACCTTATTGACCTCTAAAAACCCAGACCATATCACCCTAGGAAAAATTCTGGAACAGCAGAGGTAACAGAAAAATGGGATGTAATTTTCTTTTACCACAGGAGTCTTAGGAGATAATGGGTAAAGGTCCCCCTTGCTTTGGTGGAAGAAGAATGCATTCCAGGATTGGAGATATCCCACAAGCAAATAGAAAACCCCACCTCAGCAAACCAGTGAGAGATTCTGATACTCAGGGTTGTGGAGCAGGCAAGAACCAACACCAAGACAAGAACCCCTGCACTCCTTGGCACTGCCAAATGAACTGTGAGACTCCATCTCAGAGAAACACAATGTGTGCCCATGGGCAGGTGTCCCCCACCAGCATAGAACTGAGGAGGCAGATAACCTCCAGCAGCCAAACTTCTACATGTTTCAGAAATAGACAGCAAAACTATTCTAGTGAGGGACTTCAACCTCCCCCTCTCAGAACTATATAAATCTAACAACCAAATAAACAAGAAAGATATTCAGGTGAATAAATTTCTTAGAAAAGTTAGATATAGTAGACATCTAGAGAAAACTGAATGGAGATAGAAAAGAATACACCTTATTCACAGTGGTACATGGCACCTACTCAAAAACTGTCCATGTCCTATGGCACAAAACCTCATGATCCAAAGCAAAAAGGCAGAAATATTAAATGCATCCTTTTCAGACCATGATCTGGGATACAAACTCACTATTTAACATAAACTTCTGGGAAAAGTCAAAAATAGCATAGCAGAAACTAGGCATAGACCAACATCTTACACAGTATACTAAGATAAAATCAAAATAGGTACTTGATTTAGATATAAAGGTTGTTACTACAAGCAAATTAGGGGAGCAAAGAATAATTTACCTGTCAGATTTATGGAGAATGAAGAAGTTATGATGAAATAAAAGAGAGAACATTATGAAATGCAAAATGGATAATTTTGATTACATTAAATTTAAAATTTTTTTACACAAAGACAATGCCTGCAACATTAGAAGGGAAGTAGAAAGTTGGGAAACATTTTTTACAACCAATGTGTCTCATAAAGGTCTAATTTCTAACATATGGAGAGAACTGAGTCAAATTTATAAGGATATAAGTCATTCCCTAATTGATAAATAGTCAAAGGATATGAACAGGCAGTTTTCACATGAAGAAATTAAAACTATCTATAATCATATAAAAAAAAGTTCTACATCACTATTGATTAGAAAAATGCAGATCGAAATTTTGAGGTACCACGTCACACCTATTAAATTGGCTAACATGACAAAACAGGAAAATGATAAATGTTGGAGAAGATGGGAAAATTTGAACATTAATATTTTGTTGGTGGAGCTGTAAACTGATCCAACCTCTCTGAATGGCAGTTTGGAACTATGGCCAAAGGGGTATAAACTCTGCATACCCTTTGACCCAGCAATATCACTTCTAGGGCTGTATCTCAAAGAGATCATAAACACGGAAAAAGGACCCAAAGGTACAAAAACATTTCTGGCAGCTCTTTTATAGTATCCAAGAATTGGAAATTGAGGTGAGGGCCATCAATTGGAGGATGGCTGAACAAGTTGTCATATATGAATGTATGGAATACTTTTGTTCCATAAGAAATGATGAGCTTCCTCCTCAGCATTCAGGCAAACAGGTCAAAGCAGTAACCTGCAGCCCTGGTACTGAGCGTGAATGTGAACCTTCCAGAGCTTCCTCTCCTTGCCTGTTTCCCAGGTGCAGGCAATACAAATCCCCGTTTGAAGCCAAGAAGGTACGGCATGAACATAGACTCATTGATGACATCATAGCCCAAGCTCTGAAATCACAGAGAGACTTTGTCTGGGCCTGTAAGAATTATGATGGTGATGTGCGGTCTGACTCCATTGCTCAAGGCTATAGGTCTCTGGGAATGATGACTAGTGTGCTGATCTGCCCAGACAGCAAGACAGTGGAATCAGAGGCTGCCCATGGTACAGTAACATGTCAGTACCGCATATATCAGAAAGGTCAAGAGACATTCTCCAATCGGATTGCCTCCATTTTCGCCTGGACCTGAGGGTTACCTCACCAAGCTAAACTAGATAACAATGCAGAACTCAATACATCTGCAACAGTTTTGGAAGAAGTTTCTATTGAGACCATCGATTCTGGCTTCATGACCAAGGACTTAGCCGGCTGTATTAAAGTTTTACCCAATGTGCAGCAATCTGACTAACTGAATATATTTGAGTTTATGGACAAACCTGGAGAAAACCTGAAGGCCAAACTAGCTCAGGATAAACTTTAACACCACGTCTCTGCTCAATGAAGAAGCTGCCCCATGGGGTAACTCGTTTCTTTGGTTTACAGTTTTTCTGTATGACGTTCAAGTTTTAAATGAAATCAATTTCATCATTTCTCTAGAGGACAAGTTGTCTTTTCTATGAGTTTACAACCTTTCTTTGTATGGCTCCTCTAGTTCTTTCCAGTTTGCCCACCACGTTTAATGTGACAGGAGACCTTTTTTATATAGCACCCAAGGAATTACTTTCTTTTTTTTTTTCAGCCAAAGACAAAGTTTATTAGAACATCCGTCGTATTGGACAGACTCTTAGTGAGCTAATGGCTAGATTATAAGAATCTGAGCACCTTAATGGAGAGGAGATGAACCTTATATACAGAAAGACTGTGGGAGAAATCTAGGAGTGGCCAAGTAGACTGGGGTGGGGGTCTGTGAGGTAATAGAATTCTAGGGACCCTGGCCAAAGGAGAATAGAACCTAGCTAGGATTAAGGGTGGGAAGTGGCCCAAGGCCATAGGGAGGTAAAACAAGGGAGGACCAGTCTAAATTAAGGGTAAGGGAGATTGGGTGTAACCACAGTTAAAGGCCAGTTGATGGGATTATAGCCTCAGGTAAGTGCCAGAGATTTGGCCCTGTGGGAAAATCCAGGGTTTTTCCTTTTGGGGATCTAGCTCCCATCCTCATCATTCCCCCCTCAAATAAATGGGACCTAAATTATTTTGAGGTAAGGGGCAAAGGTCTTGGATTCTGAAACTACTTTCTGCTGGCAAGGAGCATAGAGTTGTCTTTGCCTCAAGGGGATCCCAAAAAGGAGGTTGACTGGAACCAAGCACAGACTATATCCAGGGAATGATGGGAGGACATTGGCTGGTACCTGCTGTTTGCTACCAACTGTAGGTGAATGGCCTGTAGTCTGGAAGACATAAATCTGACAGAAGAGACTGCAGGGGCCCAGACATGACAGGATAGAACATCTTTAGCTGTGTTTGGATTCAGATAATTCAGTTTTCCAACCGTGCTGTATCAAATCTACCTCAAAGCCAGACTCAGGAAAACTCAGGTGGACAACATTCCTTTTCAAAGGAACATAATGGGGAAACTGAGCCAGGAGGATCCCATCTTAGCCTGAGGCTAAAATTGCCCTCTCAGCTTATCATGATGCTGACATATCACATTCTCTCTGAGAAGCTTGTGGCATTTCTCAGATGGTGGATTATTGATTTCTCAATGAATTATTATTGATGGGGTTGGGATATTGACCCCAGAAAGGAAAAACCCTGGACTTTCCCACATGGCCAAATCTCTGCCATTTGCTGAGGCCATAATTCCATCAATTAGCCTTTCATTGTGGCTATACCTAATCTCCCAATTCTGTTACCCTTAACCTAGTTTAGCCCTCCCTATGGCCCTTGGCCATTCCCCACACTTAATCTTAGCTAGGCTCCATTGTCCAGGTCCTAGGACTTCTGTTCACCCCAGCTTACTGACTACTCCCATTCAGATCTTCCTTAGACTCCCTCCTCCAGTCACCTTAAACTACTTGACCACTCCTAGATTCCTCCCACAGTCTTTTAGTGTATAAGATCCATCTTGCCTTCATTAAGTTACTCAGATTCTTAAAATCTGGCCACTGTTAGATTCTTAGAATCTAGTCAACAGCTCACTAATGTTCTGACACCTTAAGAGTTTGCCCAATATGGCGGATGTTCTAATAACCTTTGTCTTTGACTGAAGGAAGGCTTGGGTCGAATTCTTTTGGGCAGCACACATGTGTTGTGATCTTGGGGTCCCAGGACCCCTAAACCTCATCATTTTGGTGGCCCAAATGGGGAAACTGCCTAACCCCAAGTTCTTCTGCAGCCAATGCTGGAAGGTATTTAACCCCCCCCCCCCCTTTTTGCTTTGCAGTTGGGGTCGCTCTCCAAGCACCAAGGCTTAGAGGTGCTTTTCCAACAGACAGTTACAAGACTGTCTCACACTCAGCCTGGCATTCTCAGGCTCTCAGTCCACTGGGTCAGTTCAAGGTCATGGACATAAGTACACCTTCTGCAGCATAGAGGACAAGGACAGATGCCCTATCTGGAAGTGTGTGCCCAATTCTGCCAATTCTCTTGGTGCTAGGGAATTGGGGTTCCCTGAGACTTACTCCTTTCCCTCTACACCTCTGAATATTCCTTCATGGAGGTTACAGGGAAAAGTTAGAATAGCTAAAAGTATTTTGGCAGATTCTGGAGGTTTTGTGATTGATCACTAAGGAGTTTTGAAACTCCTCCTTACAACCTGGTCACTTCTTTCTCCCACTCCCTTCTCTTGAGTATGTGAACTCCTCTCATAGGAGAAGAGACTGTCACCCTTTACCTCTCACCTTTGATTTCACCTTC